TCCCCGCATAATCTGAAGGAAATATACACAACAATTATCGGAGTATCTAAAAGATTTCTTTTTATCTCTTTGAAATCCTTGGTTGTAAAACAATAATGAATTAATGATGATTGAAATAATTTTTAGGTTAGAAGTTTGGAACAGTTGAAAGGGTATAGATAATTAAAAGGGTAAGATTGGAAATCTTATCTTTTATGATAAGGAGTGAACCCTTATCGGATTTCTGAGTTGCAGAAATCCAGACTAATACCCAAAAATGGATAGAGTGAGCAAGAAGAAATAGAAATAGAAATAGAGAGAAGAGAGAAACAGAATAGAGAGAGAAGTTTAATTCATTTCTTAATTAGCCAAATACAACTCACCTAAGCTTAATAAACAAAATTGCAAAACAGAAAGATTCCCTTTCTAACACACTTAGGCAGAAAACGACAAAAGCTAAAATTAATTAACAACCTAAGTTTGTAACAAACTTTCCCGCCAAAACTGTAGCTCTATATTTTTCATACTGTAACATACCCTCCCTCATTAAAAGACTTGTCGTTAGGTCTGACCAACAGCAAAACCAGGATATAGTGCCTCAAAATCATCCTTTGCAACCCAAGAAGCTTCATGCAAAGGTTTATCAACCCGTTGTACCAAATATTGAGTCTGAGCACTACCATCAATAGTAATCACCCTAGAGTTCACAACAGCAGCAGGGGAAGGAGAAACAGGAGCTTCCTGATGCAAATCAGTTGGCAGGGAAGTTGTTGCTGGTAAGAGGCCTCGAAAAGGCTTGAGTTGAGACACATGAAAAACATTATGAATCCTTGCTGAACTAGGCAATTGCAACTTGTATGCCACCTTCCCAATTACTGCAGAAACCTTGAAAGGGCCAAAGAATTTAGCAGCCAGTTTCTGATTGCCCCTATAGCTAACAGAATGTTGTCTATAGGGCTGTAACTTGAGCCACACCCAATAATTTACCTCAAAGCTCCTCTCAGGCCTTCTTTTGTCAGATTGAGTCTTCATTCTATGTTGTTCCTTAGTGAGATTTTCCTTGAAAACTCTCAATATCATCTCCCTTTTTTGCATGCTTCTATCCACCAATTCATTAGATGATTCCCCGGGGAGGTAGGGTAAATGAAGTGAGGGAGTTTGACAATACACAGCCTCATATGGAGTCATACCAACAGAAGAATGGAAATGGGTATTATACCATCATTCTGCCATAGGAAGATATTTGCACCATTCCTTAGGTTGATCACTAGTCATGCATCTCAAGTAAGTCTCCAAGCACCTGTTAACCACCTCAGTCTGTCCATCTGTCTTAGGGTGATAGGCAGAAGATAAGAGGAATTATGTTCCTTGTAAAGAGAAAAGTCCCTGCCAGAATTGGCTTAAGAAGACAGGGTCCTTGTTCTTCACTATACTTCTAGGCCACCCATGGAGTTTAAACACAAAATCAAGGTGCACTTGAGCCACCTCAACAGCTGTAAAAGGGTGTTTGAGGGCCATGAAGTGGGCATATTTACTAAGCCTATCAACCACCACAAAAATAACATTTTTCTCATGGACATAGGGAGACCAGTTATAAAGTCCATGGAAATATCAGTCCAAATTTGTTCAGGTATAGGTAAGGGCTGTAGAGCACCAGGCTTGGCAGAAGTATCATACTTTGAGGCTTAACAAACCAAACACTTTCTAACAAATTGACTGACCTCTCCGGCCATGCCCTTCCAATAGAAAACTTTATGCAATCTCTTCTAAGTTTGATCCCTCTCAGAATGCACTGCTTCCATTGAAGCATAATGCCAAGTCATTATTTTGGCCTTAAGAACTAGATCAGGACCAATTACAATCCTGCCATGTCTCCTTAACAACTCATCTTGAAAACTGAAACCACTCAACACCTCACCCTGGTTGAGTTTCTGCACCAAAGAACAAGTGTTATCATCCAAGGCATAGCTAGCTTTAATAGCCTGGCTAAGATCAGAGTCAATAACTAAGAGAGCCATCAGTAAAATCTCTGAGCCAGGCAACCTGGAAAGAGCATCAGCAGCAATATTTTCAGATCCTGCTTTGTAATGGATTTCATAAGTAAATCCCATTAGCTTGGAAGCCAGAACTGTTGAAAACGGGTTGAGATTTTCTGTCGAAGTAACCATTTTAGGCTCTTTTGATCTGTTCTAACCACAAAGGGTGCCCCTATCAAGTATTGTTCCCATTTTTTAACAGCAAAAACCATAACTAGCAACTCCTTCTCATTAACTGATAATTTTTTTCCATTTTTGCCCCAAGGATTTGCTGATAAATGCTATTGGATGACTGTCCTGCATTAAAACAGCTCCAATACCTGTTTTACAAGCATCAGTCTCCACCACAAATTGCTTGGAGAAATCAGGTAAAGCCAAGACTAGAGCACTCACCAAGGCTGATTTCAATGCATCAAAAGCAGTCTGAGCTACATCAGACCATTCAAATGACCCTTTCTTCAATAACTCAGTAAGAGGTTTGCAGATGCTTGCATAATTTCTAATGAATTTTCTGTAATATCTAGCAAGACCCAAGAAGCTTCTAAGTTCCTTGACTGAACAAGGGCTAGGCCAAGAGTTGACAACACTGATTTTACTTTGATCAGTTTCAACCCCATTCTTAGAAATAAAATGCCCCAAGTACTCAACCGCACTTGAAGCAAAAGAACATTTGCTCAATTTGGCATACAAAGAATTTTCTATCAGCAATCTAAACACCTGATGATAGAATTTGCTATAAATCAGAATGTCATCAAAGAAGACAAGTACATACTTTCTTAGCAAGGGTTTAAAATCAGCATTCATCCAGCTTTGAAAAGAGGAAGGAGCATTGGTAAGACCAAAGGGAATCACCAAGAATTCATAGTGCCCTTCATGGGTCTTGAATGCAGTTTTGAATACATCATTGGGATGGATTCTCAGTTGGTGGTACCCTGCTCTGAGATCTAACTTGCTGAACACCACAGAACCAGATAGTTCATCAATCAACTCATGCATCCAGCACTAGAATTGGGAACTTGTTCTTGATTGTTCTCTTATTAAGCTCTTTGTAGTCCACACATAATCTCCAAGTCCCATCTTTCTTACCCACCAAAACAACTGGAGAGGCAAACAGGCTAGAACTAGTTCTGATTATTCCCCTCTCTAACATTTCTTGAACTAATTGTTCAATAATGTCTTTTTGTTTAAGTGGATACCTATAAGGCCTTATATTCACTGCTCCCTTCCCAAGCTCCAACTCAATTATGTGGTCAAACACCCCTCTACTAGGTGGTAAGTCCTCAGGTTCCTCAAACACATTAGCATGGCAAACTGATTCTGTAAAGCAATCAATTCATCATGTTCCATGTCTTCCCCTACAACTTGAATGAAACAAGTAGGTGGACTTGTCTTTGTCATATTAGAGACATGTAAGAAACAAAGCTGGGAAGCACAGGACATCAATTTAGAAGATGGTGAGGTCTGTAACACTTTAAGCTTCTGAGTAGGTATACCTTTCAACATCACTTCATCATTGTTTCTACTAAACTTCATTGTAAGCTGCCTGAAGTTCCAAGAAATAGAACCCAAGGTGTTGAGCCATTGAATCCCCAAGACCATATCACAACTGCCCAAGGGAATCAGCATAACATCAGCAGTATACTGCTGCCCACCCAGAGACCAGGTAAATCCCCTACACACAGCCTGGCATATCAAGTTATTGCCATCTGCCACCATGACTGACTGCCCTTCTATCACTTCACTCTAACAGCCTAGTTTCTTAGCCATATGCAAATATAGAAAATTATGTGTGCTCCCTGAATCAATTAGAGTATGCAGAGGAGTCCCATTTACCATAGCTTACACTCTCATAGTGTGAAAATTTTTATCACCAGTCAAGGCACATACAAAAATTCGGGGGTCAAGTTCCTGCACACAGTCCTGTTCCTCCAGCTCCACTATTGCAGAATCAACTTCATCTAAGCCTGGAATTTCAATAGTTAACAACTGGGGTTCCTTAAATTGACTTTTATGATTCCTATCATATGGAGCATCCCAATAATAGCAAAGGCCTTTAGCTATTTTCTCAGCTCTAACTTCTGCTGGGATGTATTTTGTGGGTTTAGGGAAAGAAAGATGTTTCATGGAGGGTGTGGGAAGGAGTGCGGGTTTAGAGCTTGTATTCTAGGTAGAGGTAGGGTAAGGTTTCTGGTAAGGGGTAAATGTTTTGTGTTTATGCTGAGAGTTAGCAGAAATGGACTCAGACAACAACCTTGCATATTCTATAGCTGTAGTGATTGTTTGAGGTTTAAAAGCCCTCACAAATGGCCTTATTCCAGGTTTCAGACCACTAATGAAGCTTTCCAGCAAATACTTTTCAGGCAACACATAACTATTTTGCAACATCACAACTCTCAGATTTTCAAACTCATCAACATAAGCCTAAATGGAATATGACTGACTTAGTTTGTTAAATTCCTCCACCACATTGACCCCAATGTCATCCTTAAATCGACCATTAACATCAATTACAAAATCATCCCAATCCACAGTAGTACGAGTAGATAGATAACTAGTCACCCAATTTTCAGCTTTATCAGTCATATTCAAGGAAGCCAAGTCTACTTTCTGCTCATTAGGGATTTTGCATAAATTAAAGTATTTAAAGCATTTTTTTTTATCCACAATCGAGGGTTACTACCATTAAACTTTGGGAACTCAAGTTTAGGATTATACCCCGATTTAGGTTGGAAAACGCGCTCATCTGATTTAGCTGAGGCAAGCTGATCCTTTATGATCTGCAACATTCCCATCAAATCCTCTATCTGCTTAGCTGAAGCAGCAGACTGAGCCTCAAGCTTCCTTTCTAACGCAGCCAGTTGTGCATCCATTCTGGTCACTCGAGTAGTAAGAGATGGTGCCAGAATGCGAGGATAGAGAGTAACAGCGGTTGCTCTGATACCACTGATAAGGAGTGAATCCTTATCGGATTTCTGAGTTGCAGAAATCCAGACTAATACCTAGAAATGGATGGAGTAAGCAAGAAGAAATAGAAATAGAGAAAAGAGAGAAACAGAATAGAGAGAGAGACAGGAGAAGAGAGATAGAGAGAGAAGTTTAATTCATTTCTTAATTAGCCAAATACAACTCACCTTAGCTTAATAAACAAAATTACAAAACAGAAATATTCCCTTTCTAACAAACTTAGGCAGAAAAACAACAAAAGCTAAAATTACTTAACAACTTAAGTTTGTAACAAACTTTCCCGCCAAAACTGTAGCTCTATATTTTTCATACTGTAAGTCTGTAACATTTTATAACTATTCTTTTGTTCTGTATTTAGGTGATTTACTACCGCCCTTATAATGTAGTAAAACCCGAGAAAAAAAAATAAAAAATAAAAACGTAATCTCAAGCTCAACAGACAAAAGCGACATATAACTGAGTCCGGTCTGTTCGTCTCTCCCTTCCGCTCAAAAGCCCCAATGTCTTGACTCTTATTTTGGTGGATTTAAACTTCTATACTAGATCTAGGGTTATAATTTAGTATGATGATAGCGATCTATGGTTTGGTGGAATATCATCGTATTTCAGCTTAATATTTATTCATTAACTGATTGATATTCCCTGTAGTTGTTTAATTCAAATTCAAAAAGATGGATGCTTCCACCTCCAAAGCACCCTCCAGGTAACACAATTTCTTTTCTTTGTAAAACATATCTGATTTACTGGGGTGATTTGGTGTTCAAGAATGTGCTCTTGTAATCCTTTTTACTAATATTATTATTTATAATCTGCTGGATATCAATAAAATTAATTAATTCGATCTTACATATGTAAAGGTGTTAACTTGAAGTTTGTTTCACAAAAAAAAAAAAAAAAAGGTGTAAACTTGAAGTTTAATAAGTGGGTTAAACTTGCCTTTTGATGGGGTTTCACAAAATTGGAGGTAGAACTGTTTAGTTTTGAATTCTGGGTTTTACAAAAATTTAACATGCTTTCTTTGCTAATTTTTTGATGATGAAGCTCTCCAGCGATAGTGTACCTGTTTAAATTCCAAACCCAGCTCATGTGTTATTTGAGAATGATGATGATGATTTTCCTGCTTCCAGGTGTAAGAATTTAGACATAGACTTGGGTAATATAAGTAGGCGCAACCATTTGAAGAGGAATGATGATAATATATATTGTTAGAAGAAGATAGGATCAGCAGTTTACCTGATTCTGTATTAGGTGACATACTTTCATTAGTTCCTTCCAAGGATGCCGTTGCTATGTGTGTATTGTTGAGGCGATCGAGGCGTGTTTTCACCTGGGTAAGATGCCTTGATTTTGACGACTCACCTATATCTCATTGTGTAGACTCTCCATGTATGATAAACGCTTTCCCGGATTTCAAGAATTTTGTTGATAAGCTATTGCAACTCTGCCAAGCCCACAAAATTACCACATATAAACTTCACTTTGGCAAGCCTGATCGCAGGCCTTATAAGTTGCATAAATGTAGGGAATGTTGTTTTCCTGAATTGGAATCTAAGCATCTCAATGCCTGGATGTGTTTTCCGTTAAGCCGTCAGGTCAAGGGACTTGACATTTGTGCTCATGTGAGGAAACCCGGTCAGTTGCTTTTGGAAATTTTTGCTTGTCAAACACTAGAGGTGTTGAAGCTTGATGTGAATCTTCATCTTCAAGTTCCCTTGTCTTTGTGTTTGCCAAACTTGAAAGAGTTCCATCTCACTTTACCTATCATCCCTGATGGTGACTTTGTTACCAGGATTGTCTCAAGTTGTCCATCCCTTCAACACCTGGATTTGCATGGTTACTGGGATCCTGTGGATCCCATCTCTTCATAGATTGAATATATATGCTTCTAACTGGAATTCTACATGCCAAAGGACCAAGGTTGTGCTTGATGTTCCTAATTTGGAGTATTTAGCTTATAGTGATGTTTCAGCATTGCATTACTCCATTGGACATATGAATGCTGTAGTTGAAGCTAAAGTTGATATTAAAGATTGTCTTTTGGAGACTATAGTTAGCCTTGCCTGGTTGTTGCCTAACGCACGGCATTTATCAATAGGGCGAGAATGTGTTGAGGTTTGTCCTTTGATCCCTTTCATCCTTTTGTTTGTGCATTGAAGTTCTTGAGTCTATTTATTCATTGATAGTGAGTTGACTATTTTATTCTTTGATCTAGCCTCTGCATTTCTGTGAATCAAAGCTCAAGCTGCCTATCTTTCAAAATCTGAAACATTTGGAGCTTGGTTGTTTTGGCTTTGTGATTGGAATAAAGTGTTGATGGAGCTGCTTAACTGCGCTCCTCTTTTAGAAACACTTACTTTTCCAGAGGTTAGTGAGATTTCTTCTATTCCAAATACTCAAATGACTCTAGCACTATGATCATGGCTTGTGTGATTTCTAACTATTCTTGTGATTGTTGTCAATTACGACTTATCATTCTCATCTTTCAGGGAATTACATATAGTGATTCTTGGTATGATTATATTTACGTGGAGGTGTCTGAGCGGGAGTGTAATTCTTGGAGTTGTACTCAAACAGTGCCATCTTGTTTAGTGAGTCATCTCAAAAAAATCACAGTAGTGTGCTATTGGCGTATGGATTGGGAACGGGAAATATTTAAATATTTTCTTAGAAGCTCATTAGTTTTGGAGGAATTGGACATCTATATTAATTCTGTAGTGCCAGAGAGAGTATGGATCGCTGAAGACAGGATGTTACAGAAGCTACCAAGAGCCTCAAAGACCTGTTCAATGAGAGTCCATAATGTGAAACTTCGGGGCTGATAATTGGTACTCTGTAGTGGGTTTGAATAAACAATTTGTCAGTGCTCATAAGTTATATAGACTGATTGATAATTTGTGCACTCTATAGTCATTTCAATAATTAATTTAGATTTGTTCTCAGTGGGATATGTACCAAGTGATCTAAACTGCTTTTAATTTGTGTTCTGTACTAATTTATATAGTCAATGATGGATAATTTGTGGTTTAAATTACAAGTTAAGCCGTGTGCTAGGTTCTCATTGTGTTTTGAGATTTTGTACTAATATGAGTACAAATCCTAAAATATGAGTAGCAAAGTTACTGTAGAAACCAAGGTATTGTTGCTTATGAATAGTAAAATTCCAGTTTTGCCCTTGGTGCGTGAAATTACAGCTCTGTCCTTCCTCTAGATACATTTCCCATTTTTCTCTCTTCCACTCATTCAGCTCCTTCTCTCTACACATCATGTATTGTTTCTTTCTCTATCTTCTGTCCACTTCCGAGTAAGTATAGGCCCATACCTGGTATAGTCCATACAAAGTACTTTTTTTATTTTATATTTTTATTCTATAATTTTATTATTTCAGCGATATTTTTGATGAAGAAAGAGGGATAGAGAAAAGGGCTTTTTTTTTATTATACTGTTATTATTGATTTTTATATTGTTTTCGTCTCTTGTAGCGGCCCATCACACCTCGTCCACTTCCTTCACCATTAAAGAGGACATGCGTTTGTGTTATTAAGCACCGCCACAAATCCGATCAAGGTACTTTATTTTTTTTCTTTACTCTCTCTGATTTTTTAGGGTTTGTGTTCGAAATCTTTAGATTGTAACTTTTTTTTAATGCGGGGATTGTTGAATTTACGAAGGTGGTTTTCCATATCATTTTTGTATTACTTAGATTGATTGGAATTATTCGTTGGTGAATTTTATTAATTTTTATTTTACTTCGTATCTGGTATTTGCATATGTGGTTTTATTTTGTTAATTGATATTGGTTGGAGAGAGGTTAGCTGCAATAATGGTTGTTAAGAGAAGGATGAAAAAGAATTAGAGGTGATTTTGACATCCTCACCTCTAATTCTTTTTCATCCTTCTCTTACATGGAATCAATTAGTGGGTATACACTATGATTTTTTTTGCTGATAACAGTTAAAATGATGAGTAAAATTGAAAAGAATGGTTTTGTGCAAGAAAAGAGGTTTCGATGGACCTCCCTGCTCCTCTTGGTTCGAAGAAACAGGTCTTTTTCTTTTTAATTTCCTTTTTTTTTCATCTTTCTACTGGTATTGATTTTCTTTGTTTTTGTATGACTTTAGTTCAATTTTAGTTAGTTTGTGGTATTGTATGATATGGGTTTGTGCTTACTTTTGTATGATTTCAAGAAGAAGATTCATATATTGAGTACATTGTTCTATTGTAATTGTGTCTCAATTATGATATTGATGGTGAAATTCATTACATATATAGTGTGATTAGTTAGTTAGCTATAGAGTTGATAACCATGTTGATAGGAAAGTGACAAAACATGATTTATCAAGGGCACTAAGCTATTTGACTATATCTAAAATCCTTCTCTGCCAATTCTCCTAAAAATATACTACCTCTGTTTTGAATTAGTTGCAACTTTGCGCTCGACACAGATTTATTTGATGTTTGACAACTGTATAGCTAACATAACTACTCCCTCTCCACCTGAACAACCAAGAAACCACCTTCTCTCAACCCAAAAAACTTTAAAACTACTTCCTCTCAAGTTAAACCACCTTGAAACCGTACCCTCTTCGCCAAAACCACCCCAGAACAACCACCGTCACTCACCCCAAAACCACCCACACTCACCTTGAATCGCCCCAAAACTACCCCACTCACCCTGATCCACACCAAAACCACCTGCACTCGACCTAATCCACCTGCCTCGAGCCACTTCAAACTAGCCCACCCACCTCGCAATCCATCAGATCCAAACGATTGTTTTTTTTAAAAAAGAGAGAGAGAGAGCAGGGGGGGGGGGGGCGGGGAGGAACAACAATGGAGGAGGAGGCTATGACGAATTTGACGATGATGACAAGCATTGACGGTGTTGAAGATGGTGATGGGTAGATGCAGCGACGACAACGATAAAGATGGTGGTTTGATTATTTTGTGGGAGATGAAGATGGAAGTTGAATGATTTTTTATGATTGTTGATTTAATTGGGTGACATTATTATGTTAAATAAGTTAGATTAGGAATTTAATGAAATCTGATTTGGGTAACTAATTGTGTTTATAATATCTTTATTAAGGGTATTTTGTACTTTCATTGAAAAAAAAACTTACTAATAAAGGAAAAAAATGGAAAGTTACAACTAATGTGTAGCGACCCTTTTTGGCAAAAGTTGCAACTAATATGTAACAGAGGTAATACTATGATTTAGTGCATTAGATGAAGTGGAAATGCAACGGACTGCGCACTTGGGTTGGTACTTAGACAAGAAATAGGAGAAGATAAATAAAGTAAAAGACGATTGAAGATATATTGATATAGCCAAACGACTTTGAGGTTTACACTAAGCTAATGAACTAAGCTATTACAACTTTCTGAATGAATTATTTCCTCCTCACTTCTTGCTATTTAACTTCATACAATACTACTCATGTGACTAAGCTTTAATTGCTACACTAACTACTTTTGTCTTCTTCCGCAATAAGACAAAATTGAACTCTCAAAAGCCAAACCATGTTCTGCCCTGCTGCTTTAGTTGTGTACTGCCTCATGTTGCTGTTGTTGGGTATTTGCGCCCTGTTGTTGTTGCTTCCGCTGTAAGTGTGCACAATGGGTGGTATGGGTTGGTGTATTACAGGAAAATATTTTATAATAAATTATATGCTGAGAGGAACATGTGAAAATTGGTGTAGTCAGTTTGTGATTTTTACCTGGTGAATTGAGATTAATAAGCTATTATTAAAGTGCATCTCAAAACTACCTAAGCTATCATATAAGCTTGCAGGAAATTGGTGATGATTTGATTGTTTTTTATCTTTCAGAAAATTGATGCTATTAAATCGAGAATTGAATGTAAAGAGAGAGTTATTTGCTTGGGAAGAACAGCTTAATGAGAGAAGGTGAATTTTATCATTTTTTTGCTGATATATTTGTGTCCGAATGTTAGTGCCTATTTCTGAGTTTTTTCCCCCTTGTTTATTATGTGGGTCTTCGCTTAAATTTGTTCTTTTTGCTGTTAATTGACTGTTTTTCCCGACGATTCTTGCTTTATATGTGTAGAGATTAACAAGGGAAGATTGGGAAGCTTGAATGGGGACTGAAGTGATAAGCAAAGTGATATTTTCTGCTCTTAACAATAAGTTAAAGAGCAAAATCAAGTCAGCTCTTAAACTTTCCTAGGAAGTTTGTTGATTGGATTGCACGAGCTGAGACAGTGTAGATAGATCCGGGTACTCCCCCCAGTGGAAAGACTGCGAGGCCTTCAGTTCTTTGTTTATCTATGTTTAATCCAATACTCATTATTTTGATTATTTTATTTTGGGATTTGGGTTCTTTTTTCTTTTTCTTTCTTATCGTTTTTTTTTCCCTATAATTAAAATATTAATTCGAGTAGTACTTATCCAGTTATCCTGCAATTTTTGATAGCTTAGGTAATTTTGAGATGCACTTTAATTTGATAGCTCAATAGTGTTACAGAGTAATTGGTTTAGACTAGAATGCTAGAAGCAAGCAATATAAATTTAAATGATTTTAGTTACTGAATTGTGTGAAATTCATCTTCGATCTTGTAGGGACTTGGGTTTGAGTTAATTATTTGCTTACGATCAATATCAGTTTACTCATTATAAGGAATATACAAGTATCAACATTTGGTTTGCTGGGTTAGTTTATGATGCTTGAATATTGATGTATTGGATCTATTTATTTTGGTTACACTGGATTTCACAATTAGTTTGTTTCATCTTTGGAAATTGTATTTTGCGTGAATTAATTATCAAGCTGTGACAAAATTGTATCAGTAATGAACAATATAGTTAAATATTCTAATAAAATAAGTGTTTTCTAATGGGATGATATGATTGATGATTTTAATAATGATATAGGGAAGTTTTGATACACTTCTACCAATATTTTTTTAAGAAATAATTTGTTATTGTCCAGTATAAATTTTGATTAATTGTAAATTATAACTACAAATTTTTGTATTATTAATATATTGGTTATGTTTCAGGGTCAATGGGGGCCATGTGGCATAGGAGCATTAGAAGGTGCTAATTGTCTTGCTATTGAGAGACTCCTTATTTTGAGTGAGCAACATTTGGTAAGTTGTGACCATGGGGTCAGTGATCTAGCTTTTCTTCAATTCATTTTGTATTTATTTGCATATTCTTAGTAGCATTATTCTTCAAATCTTAACCACCTCGAATCTCAATCTTAATTACCTTGTTGTTACTATGATTTCTTCAAATTGGAGCAATTCTATGTGAAGATTAATTTGCTTTGGTTTCATAGACTTTTTTTAAGTTGTTCATTTTTGTCGCTTATTGCTGTTTTAGCAGGTTATCACAAGTTTCATGATATTTATTTTAATAATTCAGTTTCAGATTGTCATAATTTTATATGAGTTGGGAAGTTGGAGTATCTAATGTGTTGAAATTTTAACTTGTTGCTGCTCTTTTGATCTAACCTATTGGTGTATTCCTGTTGTATTCTTGCTATTGCAGTTTTAAAAAGCTCGATTTCTGGTTGCTATTGGGTTTCCCAACTGGAGATTGATGCTGATGAAAGAGACAGGGGTTTTATTCTGCTGAGCGTGGCTCTGAAACTGTGAGTTTATATATATTTATTTTACCAAGGGTAAAAAAACATTTATTAGTGGATGAAGTCCCATCTGATGCTCCTGTAAAGGTCTATTTTGCTTCAGGGAATGACATACGCTTATGATTCCTTCTATAAACCGTACAAAGTATGTTTCAAATGTATTCACTTTTTTATCCTCATTGTCCACTGGAAAATTACACTGTGACGTTTTTCAAGTGTTGTATAAAGTCAGTTATTGATGTCTTTGATTGGTTTGTGTTTTGGCATTTTAAGTGTATATGGTTGCTCTTTCCGGAGCCTGCTCTGTGGATGTTTTAGGTGATCAAGGATTTTCTTTCCCCTTATTAAAAGAAATTTGTTTGTATTTTTTTTATTTTCTTAGTATTTTTTCCTTTTACATTATTCTCGAAGTTTTAGGTATTTTTTCCTCTTACAGAATAATTTCTTATTCACAATAAACTCCCTTCATTGACGTGCTTTAGTAATGTTAGTGAGAATAACTGAAAGCTTTGGGTCTAATTTTGTTTGTTATGTGCTAGCTATAAGATTATAAGGGGCATTGGTTCTGAACTAAATTGGTTTATAAAGGTCTGTGATCTGTTGTCTGTGGATCATAATATTGTGGACCTGTGGTATCATCAACTTATTCTCGAAGAATTCAAAGTTTTTTTTATTGTCACTTGGGGCTCTATGCTTTTTAGACAATTGCTAACATTCGTTTGTTTGAACTTACCTTAATTTGCTTTATGTAAATTTGAAGTAGAATGACTGGTTATTGCCTCCTATAACAGAACACCATCTGAGCTTGATTGTTGTCTCTCTACTGCTTAAATTAATGCCTGAAAATTATGTTTCCTTAACTTTACCAGGATGGTTGTTGCTATGCTTGTCAAGAGACATGTTGATGGATTTCTACCTATTGATGTCTACAACATTGAGGTCGAAGTTAAAAGAGGGCAGAAGGCCAGGTTGGATTGCTACCTATTGATAACTACAACATTGAGCTTGAGGATCAAAGAGTGCAGAAGGTTATTATGGGTTTTTACAGATAAAAGGTATGTGTTTGCTTATTGCATTGCAAGCTACTGTATGCACCATTTGGAAGTCTCTCTTTAGTTTCAATTGTCGAAAAGCAACTGCATGTGCAAAATTACCTTATATTTTGTATATGATATTATGACTGGGCAATAATGATGGGTCTTGTGCTGCATATATACAAAAGTAAAGCAGCTAATGAGAATACAACAATACAAAGTGGTATTAGAGGTGCTTGAATTGGGAGAGGTTAGTGGCAGCATGTCAATGCAGGGAGTTTATTGTGAGTAAGAAATTATTTTGTCAGACAAATTTGATTTCTTGTATAACTCTTTTGTGAATTGAAGTTCTTAACACGAGAACCATTGTGTTTATTCAGAAGGTTTTTTCTCTCTGTGGCTCGAAACTAATAGAGGTATTTGTCAATTGTCATTCCTTTTCCCCCTGAGTTTTCAAATCTTTATAATTTTTGTCCAATTGTCTGAACCTTTGTGATATGTAATAGACCGGATTTCGCACAACCAGATTATATTAATTAATCTCAGCTTAAAGCAAGCTTGAGAATTTAATTGATGATTCAGGACAGAATTACAGATTTAATGGAAGATAAATATAGCTTTAGCATATAACTCTCTTGTAGCTTTAGGCTACTAATCTCACAAGTATTCACTCAATTTCTTGATACCTTTACTAATATATTCATCCTCAAACTTATACTAAAGCTATCTAAGACGAACAATCACCTAAAGATGAATACATGTGACTCTTAGCCAAAATAGCAAAACCATACTTGGACATAAATTATCAATAAGACTTGTTGCTTGCTTTCCTTAATTCTTTCCTAATGAGTTTTGTCAACTTGCTCTTTGTTGTGATTGACTCAACCGGCTGTCCCTTTCATTGACCCTCCTTGCTGACCGTGGCTATTCCTTGCTTCTTCTTGTTGACCGTTGTTTCTTCCCTTGGCTTGGGCCTACATGTGTACACTTTTATGGGCTGGACCGTGCCAACAAGTGGATCTATAACATGATATTTCTGTAGAATTTTTTAAATTTAAGGCATCTCCAAGAAATTTGATGACTTGTAGAACTTGCCTATGATTGTTGTGCCATAAGCAAACTTCTATTGTTTCATATAGTTTTCTAGAGCAATGAATGGCTACCATTTCCACTTATGTATCAATAGAAAATAATACATAAAGTTTTGTTTGCTAACTGGTAGTATGTTCAATTTGAGAAGCCAATTAGTTGAGCATGGACTTTAAGCATGGAAAATTGGAAACTGAATGTCGTTTTGGGTCATCTAAGTTTTTGAGGGAGTTTTCAATTCCATAGGGGGAACTTCGTATTTTTTTTAATTGAATAGTCAACTTTTAAGTCTCTAATTTTTTTTTTTTTGATATCCTGAAAACATATCTTAGTTGTGTGCTCTTTGATACCTCTAATTTGTTGTATCTATATTCATAAGAACTTTAGATTTCATCTCTACTCTTATCATATTGGATGAGCTTCTTAATCCGCCGAATTCCTGCCCTATTATACTATGATAAATTTTATATTGGTGAGGGTCGGTATTTCGGGTCGGGTCAGCTTTTGACAGCTCTAGTCATTGGACACAAAATCAAAGATCATTGTGCCAGGATTTGATGAGCGGGTTGTGACGATATATAGTGCACTACTACAAATGATGAAGCTAGTGCCTTTTAATGGATTCTCAGTTTTGTCCAGGCCAGGATGAACTCTTTTGGGTGCATGTCAGAGTGATTGCTGAGGATGCAGGTGCTGATGTTGAACCTGAAGGTAATCGACATGTTATTGCTCGGCTACTTGTCCCTTCTGATCAGATTGGATGTATTATTGGTAAAGGTGGTCAGATAATTTAACCATTCGTAGCGATACTGGTGCTCAGATTCAGATCCTAAAGCATGATCATTCGCCATCATGTGCCTTAAGCACCTGATAAACTTTTGTAGGCAATATGAGATAATGTTTTTGGCTTATTTCAGTAGTAGAGTCATTTTTGTCTGTATCATTGCATAAACTCCATTAAAAAAATATTTGTATATTGTTAATGATGTGAAAGATAAATTGGCTACAATTTTTCTTGTTAATTGGTATGTCTCATCAGTTAAGTGTATAGTTTGTAGTTTTATGATGCTCTCTTTATGTTCCAACCGGTGTTAGTGTTTTTGTTAATTGGTTGTTGGTAGGATTATCAAAATATGGATAAAAGATTGTGATGGTTTGTTAGCTCTTTAAAATGTATGTAAAAAGTATCATAAGCATCTTTTTTTCAAATTATGATAATTTTCAGTTGATGCATGTAATGTTAGATTTCAATTTCTTAGGAGGAACTCCGTGTCTTTTTGAGTTAAACACATGCCTTAAAAAAATTGGTTTTGATATTTTGAAATTGCCTAGATATCCTAGTTGTGTACTCTTTGATACCTCTAAGTGTTGTATTCTATATTCATCAGAACTATAGGTTTCATTTCTACTCTACCATATTGGATTAGCTTCTTAATCCGCTGAGTTCCCACCCTATTATACAATGATAAATGTTATATAAGGGGGCGTTTGGTTCGCAGAGTGGTATAAGTTTGGAATAAGGAATAGGCTTAAGGTGGTATCGGGTTGGAATTTGATACTTAATACCATGTGTTTGGTTCAATTTTGGAATGAAATATCATCCCCTTAATTTCATATATTTGATATCTAAGGGAAAGGAGTGAGCCAAACTCACCTTCCCCTCAAGGTTTCTAAACCCCATACCTCATGGGTTTGAGGTATGGGTTTAAAAATCATATTTTTGACAACCAAACATATGGTATGGGTTTTAGTCATTCTAAACTCATACCTAATACCTATAATCCGCGAATCAAACGCCCCCTAAATAGGTATTGGGGAAGGGGAGGGGGAGGAGGGAGAAAAGGGGGAAGAGGGGGGGGGGGGGTTAAGGAGGGGATGGGGGGAAGGAGAAGGGAGAGAGAACTAGAGAAGACAGAGGTAATGGTTAATACAAGGATAAATTTTCTATAAATAGGTACGTGGGAGGGGTAGAGAGAAGGGTAATGGTTATCTACAGAATACAGCTACATGTTATCTTAACCAAGTATGGTATTACATTGAAATCAGATAGCAGCCTCTGTGATGTTGATCAAATCAGATAGCAGCCTCTGTGATGTTGATCACTTGATTGTAATAGAGCGAGGAGGGTACTTCTTCTGGAAAGAGTTCATTGTTAGATTTGGATCAGGATATTCCTTCTCGCTCTTCTGTTTATACAACTCGCTATTGTGATATGTAGAGTTGTAGACTATCTTTTTAAACTATTAGCTTTCTTATATATGTTCTTGTGTCTGTTTAAGTTCATCTTACTGGAAAATTAGTGCTTGCTATAGGCTTATGATTTTTTTTTCCCCATTATTTGGGCGATGATTTGTATGGGGTAATTTTTATTAGCAAATCTCATTTTACAATGCAGAATTGTTGAACTTGGATTAATTCTTATCATTTCTAGCTTGTGAAGGATTATTTAAAGTGAAGGTTTGAGAGGAGTACAGATATAAAACCATAGATTCCTCGTTTGTGACGGATGCTAGAGTTAATGAGTTTAAAAATTACCATAAAAGTAAGGAAAAGTTGCCCGAAAAATCCCACATTTGGGTCGTTCGTTAAAAATAATCCCACCTTTGGGTTATTTTTAAGGAAAAATACATTTTAATAATTCTAATTATTGGCGATTTACCTAGAATAATCCTAACTAAGGATTATTTTCTAACAGTACTAACTGTGCCTCTTATTTTCTTCCAGCGGTCCCAATGACCGGTAACCTATTGAAAAGGTAATTTTTATAATTTTTTTTTTAAATGCCACGTGTCAACACGTAGACCTGACAATCCTGACCCCGACCCGAATGACCCGACCCATGACCCGAAACCGACCCGAAAAAAGTGACCCGAAATTGACCCAAAACCCGAATTAACCCGACTCGACCCATACCTGACCCGAAGTGGAACTGACCCGACCTTGACCCGAAACCTGAAACGACCCGACCCGAAATGACCCGACCCAAAGTTGACCCGAGACCCGAAACGACCCGACCCGAAATTGACCCGACCCGAAAATGACCCGACCTTTAGCTTCTTTTAGTAAATAATTATATAAGTTATAAAAAGTTTATATATGGAAATTATACATTAAAATAGACCCAACAAACATCTTACATGACTACATTGACTTTCATATAATAGCTAAAAAAGATGGTCAAAGTGAGATGTGTGAATAGTGCAAAATGTCAAATCGTTTAGAGTAATTTGGGACGGAGGGGTATAAGAATAATTCAAAGACATTATTACAACAATGACAATGATAATAAGAGTAAGTATTAAAACTAAGATCAATAAGAGAGTGAGGTATAACTCAATTAGTTAGAGCATCCCTCTTAGTTTTAGGAGATCCTGAAAGTGATTCTCAGTCTAAAATTCTAAACACAAAAAAAAAAAAGTTAATAAAAGTCAAAACAATTATTATAATCCATGAAAAAAATAGCCTTAATAAATATAGTGAGTTCTTAATCAAAATATATATATATATATATATATATATATATATATATATATATATATATATATATATATATATATATATATATATATATATATATATATATATATATATATATACAGAGTTGAATTTAACCCAATGAATCATCCCAAATATGACTTGACTAGAAGTTGACCCGACCCGAAGTTGACTCAAAAATTGGACCCGAAAATTGGCCGACCCGAACTTGACCCGAAGTGTTGACCCGATACTCGACCCGACCCGATTATCGGCGACCCGAAATCAACCTGAAACCCGAAATGACCTGACCCGACCCGAACTTGACCCGACAATCTTTTGAACCGAACTTGACCCGACCCGAATGACCCATTTGCCAGGTCTATCAACACGTGATTAGTTTAGAATTTAAAAAATTAGAAAATAAAATCAGAAAATTCAAAAAAATAAACAAAAAATTCAAAAAAAAATTAGAAATTTGAAAAAAAAAATGAAATTAATAAAAAAAATCAAATATTAAAAATAAATCAGAAAATGGAAAGAAAAAAATTAGAGAAATTTTTTTTAAGAAAACAAAAAAAAATCAGAAAATAAAAATACAATCAGAAAATTCATTGAAAAAAAATCAGAAAATGATAATAAAAAAACAGAAAGTTAAAAAATCAGAAAATTAGAAAAAAAAAACAAAAATCCCAAAACCCTCCCAGCCACCCTCCCACCACCTCGTAAACCTAGCCAGCCACCCTCCCTCCCTTTCCCCGCTGACGGCCAACCCCCAAAACATCCCAAAATGGCTGGCCGACACCCACCCATCTCGGAAAACACTCGCCCGACCCAAAACCACCCTCCGAAACTACCCCTTGCTATTCCTCAACCCCCAAAACCACCCCCTCCCACTTCCCCGACCATCAAAACAACCCCTCCTCCTTTCCCCTATCGCCGAAATGGCCGATTTTTACGGTGGGGGAAAGGAGGGGGGTTGTTTCGAGGGCCGGGGAAGAAGAGATGGTGGTTATGGGAGTCGGGGAATAGTGAGGGGGTGGTTTCGGTGGTGATTTTGGGCTGACCGGATAGTTTCCGAGCTGGGTGGGTGTCGGCCGGCCATTTTGAGATGTTTAGGGGGTTGGCCGCCGGTGGTGAAAGGGGAGAGAGGGTGGCTGGCTAGGGTTACGAGGTGGTGGGAGGGTGGCTGGTCGGTTTTATGTTTTTTTTTTTCTTTAAATTTTCTGATTTTTTTTATTAATTTTTTGAAATTTTTCTAAGTGTGTGTTTTTTTATTTTTGTTATTTTATTTTACCTTTTATTTGAATTTGAGATTTTTTATTTCTGTTTTTTTTTTATTTTCTGATTTTTAAATTTTCTAATTTTTTTTAATGTTCTAATTTTTTTTATTTTTTTTATTTTGGACCAATCGTGTGTTGACACATGGCATATGACTTGTTACAACAGGTTATTGACCCATAGTTGACCGGTTGGGTCTACTGGAAGAAAATAAGATGGTACTATTAGAAAATAATCCTTAGTTGGGATTATTCTAGGTAAATCGCCAATAGTTTGGATTATTAAAGTGTATTTTTCCTATTTTAAAATAATCTCACCTTTACCCCAATCTGCTCCCAATGATCCTAAGGCTTTGTTTGGTTCAATTTTAAGTAAAGGAAAAGAAAGGAAGGGAAGAGAAGGGAAAGAAAGGAAAGAAGGGAAAGGAAGGTGTTTTTATTGTCCAATATTTGGTTAATGAAAGGATAGGAAAGGAAGAGAAGAGAAAGAAAATTTATAATGTAGGAAGTGGCTCTTTTCCTAGACCTGCTGGATATGCAGAAGGTGCACCATTTCCAAGGCTCTTTTACCACCCTTGAGTCTGTGTATTTGCTCACTAGGAGTTGTGCTTCTATATTTTAGGAATGCATGTTACTTGTGGAGGCTCCTGACTTTTGCGTGTTTCTCATAGACTATCAGTGAGGAGTGCAAGTATAACCAAATACTATCAGTGGTGCAAGTACAAGGAGAATAAGGAGTATAGCTGTATTTGAATTGGTGTACATGGAGAATAGGAAGTATATGCTAGAGATGAACAACAGTGTCTAAGCTCAATTTTGGCTAAGTTTAGGTATATGTTTTCTGACCCAAAGTGTCATCCCGTCTATGATTAATTTTCTTTGAAGGAAAATTATGTCAAGCAGCAAGCTAGAAACCTACTACCCTTTGACCAGATTGAGTTATAATTATGACTTTGTTACCAAACCCGAGAGTTAACATTTTCGGACTTGACTTTTATTATCATTTTAAATGAGCTGCTTATTCCTTACTCATTTGTTAAATAAGCAAATT